TGCAGGCTTTTTTTATTCTCTTCATGAATTAAATTTAGAATGCTGTATATAGTTCAGTACTTGTCACACATAACTCCAAGTATATTGAGAAATATGCTTTAACTATTCTCTTGCCTTTTAACTGATGGGAATCTATATTTCAGTGGAAATGGTGATGCTGTATATGGGGTTTACCATGTTGTCATCCTCCATTGTTGTATATGGCATTTTGAGGATGCAGGACACTAATAAGAGTTTAATGCTAAATGATATTACTGAGGTTCACCTCACTAGTGAGGTTCTGGCTCTGCAGGACATTCCAATGCCATGTGGCATGTTAAGAGGTGTGGCAGGAAGGCCTTGGGCAGGGAATGAAGGGAAATGAGAATATTGTGGCAGCAGAGGTCACAATGCCCACTTCACTGCACCAGCATGGTTCAGTTTTTGCATGGGGATAAAAAACCCAAAACCCCTGTCTGTGTGCTGTCTATTAATTCATTAAGGAAAAGCTGGTTTGATGATCTGTCATTTAGCCTGTGCTTCTTCTGTTAACTCATCAATAGCAAGGACTGAGAAAAATGTGAAGGACATCTCTAAATTTTCTGGTGAAAAATAAGTCACAGAATTATTTTCATAAAGTTTTCATTGGCATTTATCAACGGAAGAAAGCACATGGAAAGCAATTAGTTTTCATCCATACCAATGGCAAGACACAGGGCTTTTCATACTTACTTCATAGCATGTAGTTACTTGCAGCACTGCAGAAGTGGGTGCATTTAGGGGAAGAGACTGAGGAAGGTAAGAGAATGCAGAATGCTGAATGCTGCTAGGGTTGGTGCTTTTTGGGGCTGAAGTGAAAACTTCAGCGTAAAAATTAATCTGCACATTTATTCAGTTTTAGGGTGTATTTTCTTCATAGAGCAAAGGTTAAATAATGTATTTGTATGGTAAATGTTGCAATTTCTCAGTTGGCTCTGTTTGAATAGTCAATAATTATTCTCTGTGATGCTTGTGACCATATTGAAATTTTATTCAACAGCCATTGAAATAAGCACAAGGGGGAAAGTTACTATTTTTGTTATCATTTTGCTTAGGCCACATGCACAATGCTGTTCTTCATATCTGAAGTCCCTTTCAAAGATATTTCAGGGAACTCAAAATACACAACAGAACTAGAAGATCCAGTGATTACAGCTGGTAATGATACTGTGGATTTAGGTGCTAACAAAGCCTAACATAATCTGTTTTAATTAAGTAATTTTTTTTTCCACAGGAATATGATCAGAAACATACTCCAGGGCTTGCACCACAGTTCTTTCTTGTATAATAAAGTCACAAATTAGATGCAAGTTGCAGCTTATGTACATACAAAATAAATCTACTGTAGAAATACCATGATGTGCTTTAGAAATAACAATCATGAGAAAAATGTCTCTACACAACACTTTGTAATCCTCTAAAGGCACATGTGTGTAGAGGATGATTCAATGGATCTTTCCACATGCATAAAGCAAACAGATTACAGCCTTTTAGAATAAATTTTAAAGAGCAAGAGAATTAAAACTTCCTAAACCCTAGTACCTAGAATATGGCATGTACTTTTTTTTAGTAATGTACATGAAATTTGACAGTGATGTGAGTGCTGGATGAAACTTTGCTTCCATGGGTCACCAGTAGTCATTTTGTGTTTAATAATAGCAGCAAATGAGTGAGAGGAGCTTAGAGAATTTTGTAGCAGGATGGAAAACGAGAAAAAATCAATAGCATAAATGACAACTGTCTAGACATGTAACAGGGCACACAGTGAGTGGGGACTTTTCTGTGGGAAACCAACCTTTCAATAACCTCTGTGTCCCATGTGAGTTTGTCTTGTCTTTTGTTCTGAGAAGATCTTTGTTTCCATCATTTTTATTAAACAAATAGTCTGCATCTAAACAGTTAACCATGTTACTTTTCAGCACTGTGGTTGTATTTATCTTGGTATAGGTTGTGTATTTTTTGTAATTTGAATGCTTGGAGGAATTTGAGTTCTGTAGTCCTAATCCTCAAATGGATTATCCAGGAATATCTATGACAGTTTATATTTTGGCTTTAGCAGAGGTATTTTCTTGGCTGCTCATTAAATGAGGAATCCTTTCCCAAGGGTATTCATTTCAATAGACTGTAATTGAGGTGATGTACTTCACAAGGAATATATGAATATATGTGAGTAAGAGAGACTTTTCATAATTTCAGTCATGCTTTAGATTACCTTGGGAAGTTAGTTTCAGTATGTAAATATGTGTATGCACAAGTCAGTGCACATCATCAAACAAGAAAAAGGAATTTGCTGTTCTTCTCTTTTCTGCACTTTGAATTACTATAGCTTTCTGTTATGTGAGAGCAGTTGCAGTACTTAGCTTTAGCTGTCTGCCTAATTCAGGCCCTACTCAGTACTCCTTGGCTAGAGAGGATCTTAGCTGTGGTACACATGTTTAACACAATAGTGAGGTTAAATCAAGGCAACCATGAGGAGGCCTTCAAAGGTTGCAGAGGAAGACAGATTACATTGCTGTCAGTAAGAAGGTGATTTTTATAAAAAGCCAATGTGGAAGATTAGAGAATGGCAAAATGCCTAACTGATTATATTTAAAGATTCTGGAGGCAAAGAAAATGGTGGAGTCCAATACATAAATAAAGATTTAAAGGATATAAAAAAGGAACACAGGTGTCTTAAGAAATTGCATACAGTAAATCAATAAGTACTTCTTTAAATATGCATTGTACAAAGTAAACGAAAAGGAAAGAAAGTATTGATCAGCATGTGTTGAAAGCTAGTGAGAAGGATTAATCTGACTACACAAAAGACTTAAATCTTCACATAGTTGTTTGGGCAAGATAATATTTTCTGGGTTCTGAATTGCTTTTATCTTGGTAAGACATATTCTAAAGCACCTTTAGCTGTCGAAAACAGCATAGCTGCATTAAACACACCATTTCTCAGAAAAATAGCAAAATAAAAAATTAAACCATTTAAAGAGGACTTACTTAAATATTAATAGGGGTTTTTTATTATATGGAAGGTTTGAGTGAAAGTACAGTGAATAATTGCATGTTTTAGTTGTGGCTTAGGCAGTAGGTGCTGAAATCAGTATTCAGGTAGAATAGGTTAACAACTGCTGAACTGATGATTTCTTTAATTATTTTTAGTGTGATTCACCTCAACGTAAGAATTCAAAATTTGTATGATTAGTCCTTTTTTATGGGAGTAGAAATGGAAGGTGGTAATTGTGTTTACACAATCTAGTATAAGCAAGCAAACAAACCAACTGAAAAAAAAGCCATTACACCTCCATACACTTAGTTCATTGCCAGTGAGGATTTATTGTCTAGATCTAAATTTATACATACCAATGAAGAATAGGCCTAAAGCTCTACTGTAATAAGGTTTACTGCAATGTGAACAGGATTTCCTCTTGAATTACAACCTTTCCAGTTACATTTTAGAGAGGTAAAAGGTCTATTTGCTTCTTTTTAATTTTAAGACAGTATTTTGAAAGTACAATTTTTAGAATTTTGAATTAAATGGAGGAAAAATATCAATAGAAGCTGAGGACATTTTGCATAGAGATTACTTCTGTATTACTGTGGTGTTTGCTGAGTGAGCAAGTAGAGAAGTAATTAAAAATAAAGATTTGGTGCTTGCAATTATATTTTTAATAGCTTACGACAAAAGACTGGGACTTACAAGGGACAAATGATTTTATTTAAGGCTTCAAATGTTTAGTAACATCACTGTGATATTCATTATTGAGAAATTAATAAGTAGGACCGAATAGGATACTCAGTTTTCAGTCATTATAACACCAGGTATCATTCAACTGAAGTTACCATTAGGTGTGGATGTTTTTCAGTATTTGCCTAGACTCACCTTAGTGTTGTCATACAATATTTGTTATGAACCTGAGATTTATGAGCTTGGAGTTGCTGCCACCTACTTGACATATGTGTCTGGTGTTTTTATTGATGGGGGCTGGGGGGGCTGCACTGAAGATCCCCAACCTAGAAAGGAAATGTAGGTTTCTCAGTGTACAGTGTTGGTACTGTGCTTTGATAATCCTACATGTTGTCTTTCTCCCTGAAATATATGAATTAAAATACTGGATTGTATGTTGCACGTTTGGAAAAACTGGACTTAAAAAATAAGTCTGTTTAGCATATTAGCACTTTGAACTAGAGGAGTAGTTGAAATAATAAAAATAAAATATAACACTTAAGGAGCTGTTAATGAATTGAGTGTGTGAATCTCCAGTTGCTTATCAGCTTGTCTGCTGTCATGAATGAGTGTTTTCTATTATTCTCTTAGCTTTTTTCTGTTTTTTACTTTCATTCTGTTCCCATTTTAAAAGTAATTAGAATATTATGAGATTTATAAAGGAAATTTCTTTTTTAGAAACTAGAATCCTATCAAAGCAGTATATGGTGCATTATAGCAAAGTAGTCACTTTCTTCCATCCAAGTTTATTGACTTAATTTTTTACTGTGATATATTGTACATGAGCTTCAAGGCCAGGGAATGATGTGGGAGTAAGGCATTGTAATCACCTCTCAGTCAGAAAAAACCCTTACATTTTTGGGGGTAGCTACAAAAGAATGCTGACTCTGATGTTCTTTCCTTAAGCCAGAAAAAAAGCATGGTTGTAGGACTCTTTATCCTATTCACAGTAGAATCTTAGTAAAAAAAAGCTGAAAAATAGGATGTAGGGCAGAGAAAATATTAAACTGTCTTGATTTCCATTATTACATATCTCTCGGTGTGACTGAAGTCATTTTCTAAAACTTTCTTAGGAGGCCATGACACTATGAACCTTATCTAGATGAGAGGGTCTGAGAAGCATCCATTCTGTTGAGGAATTGGCTGACCCAGACCTCCGAGTCTCTCACATCTATCCATCGTTAGTGAAGCCATGATGTGCTGAAATTCACTTTTTACAAATACTGTTTTCGGATGCTTTCATAATTCTCAATTTTGCTGTTCACAGAGAGCGAAGAAGTGTACCAGCGCCAGGTGCTGTCTATCTCCTGTATCGTCTTTGGCATAGTCGTGGTGGGCATGCTTTGTGCAGCGTTCTACTTCAAAACAAAGTAAGAGCCTTTTGTCTGGCATGTTTGTTATTTAGCTTCTGTCCCTTTTACAGCTTTAGAGTTTCTCCCCTCCTTTTGAAGATATTGTTACCTCTGGCCAGGCTAGAACAGTTCCCCATGTCTACTCTAAGTCCCTCAAAAAGTAAACAGGATTAGTATGTGTTCTTGTTTCTATTTCATGATATCATTAAAGGAGAGATTGTGTCACTTACAGTTCTTTTTTGACAGTAATAATTTTGTGTCTTTTGCTGTCAGTGCGATAATCACGTTCCTCTTTTGAAAATGACAGTTTAAACATACCATCTCCTTTTTACATTTCATTACATATCCCTGAATGTCTCTTATATTTCTGTATGCTGAGAACAAAAGTAAAGTTAGAAATGCAGAAAGAAACAAGCTCTCTGCAGATATCTGTAACCTCTAGCTAATAGTTGTAAACTGTTGATGTAGATGCGTAATGAGTATATATAATGCACAATCACTTTGACCTATCCAAGTATGGTAGAATCATCTGTACTGAACTATTTTAAAGTGAAATACTGTCCACTCTATTCTTTTATCTTACCTACTGAGCATTATTTTATGATTATTGTTACATGTGTAATTTGAGTTGCAAAAACCTCACAGCAATTACATGGTGTGCTTGCCAGTGCCACTGTATCTATAAATATGTTTTGTATGGTTGTCATCCTTCATTCCTGTTCCATCTGGAGCTAATGAGAGAACACATATCAGTATAAAAAGTATCTGCATGAGGTTAGTCAGGGTGGCTGAGCATTGAAAATGTGAGTTTATTTAAAAGTTTGGATGCTTATCTGAATCCCCCTTTCTAGAACTTATTTTAGTGACTAAGAAATCTGATGAGGGCTGCTTTTTCTTTTTAAAAAATTAAAATTGAGATTTCTGTTGGGGGGAAGGGGGACAGAAAAGAAGTTGGAAAAGACAACGGGAAAAGTCATCACTTCAAAGATGAACTTACAGGACAATAGTGTGTCATAACTCAGGAAGAAATGAGGTTGTTGAGTTTGGGGTTTTATCTGCATTATAAATATGATAGTTCAGAGTTAACTAGGAGGAGCTGAAGTGTGTTTATGTCAGATTCTGGGAACTGAAGTTTGAAGAGTAATGAGAAAATGAGCACCTCCAATGAACAGACTAATGATAAGATGCTAATCAATCCCCAGTGCCCTGGCTGTGGCTCCATCTGGCACTGCCCAAAAAGAAAATAGGAGTGTCTAGAGTGGGTTGCATAGAGGGCATGTAAAATAGTATTATAACTGTGACACTGGCCTGTGTCTTAAGGGTGTAAAACCCAACAAATTGAAAGTGCCTCAATGCTTATCATGCATTCATTAGCTTTTAGTCAGCAGATTTTTGGCAGCTTCTTCATCAGGCAAATGTATCCTGACTATGCTTAAGAGTTATCAAATCATTCCTTCTGCATGGGGGATAATCTTTGGACATCATTGGATGTACCAAAGTGTAAAAATATTGCTGACAGATACAGAAACTCTGAATGGTGCACCCATTAAGAAAAAGTTTCCATGAAGACACTGAACTCTCACTTTCTTGGTTCTATAATACCAACTACTAGAAATAGGCACTTCCCTATGCACCATTAAATTAGTCCTTCTTTAAAATAGATTCCATCTGAGGAAGTTTAGGACTATAATTAAACACTATGCCCTTCCAATTATTTCTTTTAGATTAATCAAGAAAGTGCTGGAAGTGTTAGCAACAGAGGAAGAGGACAGTAATGGGCTGCCCTTTACAGCTTAGACTTTTATAAATGACTAGTGACTTCATTTCTTGCTGAAGTAACAACACTTCATTGCCAAACAATGCCAAAGTAGAACACATAAGGCCCATTTGTTTTGAAAACAAAAATCATAAAATAAATTTATTAATGAGTTGGTAACTTTGAATTATTAATAGTTTCTAGTTTTATAGCTGTGCATCCTACAGTTTGGCAAAATGAATATGCATAAACCTAATATTAATCTTAGGTTGCATGAACATAAAAGGAAACTAATGATTAGATTGCTTTTCTCAGCAGATTACCTTTAGGAATCTCAACTGTAATGTTAAAGATTGTGGGAGTGAAGCTGAACAGTCCAGTTGACTTATATGTGTTTGTATACATAAAACCAACACTAAGCCCAGGTTTTCTAAATAAATCAAACTAGAGTTCCAAAAATTGTTTTATTATTTTCCTGATTAAATTCTAATAATTTTGTATGCATAGGAGAGATTCCCAAGTCTGATGCTGTGATCATTTTACCTATAATTTTTTATTATTTATATGAAGTCTCCACTCAAAACACTCTGGATGTTCCATAAGCATTCTGGAGACCAATGTGCAAGCAGCTGGCTTTCTAGTAAGATGTAGGAAAATATATGCTCATTTCCTCAGTGCATGTAATTTAACTGATCAGAAAATAGTTATTCATGCAAAAACTAGAGTTGCTTTTATGAATCTGCCCTGGAATTTTATGAAAAGCCAAAGAGCTCATTTTGACATTCTAGAAATTAAATTATTCAATTTCATTGGCTTCAAAAATGAATAGATATAAAAAAGATTTTAAAAGAGGCATTTCAGAATCAAATGACTAATTTAATTTGACACTATAATCCTTCAGATTATATATCTCTTCACCTTATTGCAATATTTACTTTAAAAGTTTTGGCTAAGGAAGAATTTTCAAAGTTTTAAGTGTGCTTGAGAATTTACTTCCTCACCCACCCTGAATCATAAATTTTACTAATTTGAGCACCTAGCAATAGTCAAAATGTGCCTCTTGTATTTGTAACATGCTTACAAACTAAATTCATTCTTTTTCATTGCTCATGCTGTTTCAAAATAGAATGTAAATAAAAAGCCTAAGAGATCCTTCCTGAGTCCAAGATTTATTATAGCTTATGACCTGTCTTCAGAAAACATGCTGTAACAAATACTTCTAAGCAGATGCCTACAGTTTGTTGAATTTAAGCAAATTCCTACATTGTGCCATGCTGACTCAAAACTAGGGGACTCAAAGGCAAAGGAAATTCCATATATTTATTTTCATATGTCAAAACCTGTATTATTACTTCTCATCACTCTCTTTCATATTGAGGGAACTTGTCCTTTCTCACAGGTTCCCCCATTGACTAGATAAGTAAGTCATTTGCCTCTGGTTTCTTACTCTTTCCTGCAGTAGATGCAGATTCCACTGTGAAGAAGAAGTTAAAATTACTTTTATACTTAATTCTGTGTCAAACTCACTGCCCTGACTCAAGTAATATGCTATCAAACTTGAGACTGTCACAAAGTTTTCAGCAGCCAAATACCAGAAATTTTTCAAAATGTTGCTGAGGCTTCTTTGCTAAAATTTCAATTTCAGTACAGAAAGGCTGCATTCTCTTCATTTCTTATTGACATCCCTGAATTCACTTCCTTCTGGGATTTGGCTCTGCATCAATTGCTGTCCAAAAGCTGCTGGTGGCATAATGAAATGCTGCTCTGCTGGCAGGTCCTTGACCTTGCTGGGTCATTTCCAGAGCAGTTGTAGGTTCACTGCTGGAGATGCCTCTGCTGGAGAGAAAAAGGAAGAAGGGAAGAAAGGAATGAATTGAAATGGTATTGAGAAGTTATTTCTTATGGTTGTTTAAAAATTATAGTCCCAGACCATGTAACTTTTGAAAAGAATGGATACTGATAAAAGACCTTAAATATATTTTGCTAACAGTTTTTGCCCAGCTGAGATATCTGTTTGCAGAAGATAAAAATAACATTTAAAGTTTGCTGTCTCATATCCTCTATCATGTACAGATCTTAAAAACACAATGTCGATAAAGTGTGGCAGAAACAGAGTGTTTGTTAATAGTGTAGTTATCTTCTGAATAATGCAAGAGATTCATCTAGGGGTATTCCTAGCTCTGACATTGTGGATCATAGTATAATATGTCAAAAACACAGCCTTAGATACCATACTGGTGGTTTTTTCCAGGTTTAAGCATGCAAGCAAAAGCTGCTCTATACAGGATACAGAGTTACAGGTCAAGCCTAATCACCCAGCTGAAATATTTGATTCTTCAACAATTTTTATAGCTAACAGAGGCTAATGCCTGTTGTATTTGCCAAAATCTTTTTTACAAATCAGAACAAAATGCTTTTTTCAATATTCAGACCTACTTGCCAGCTATTGTTAAACATGAGATAGATGATCTTACAAAATTCTGTACTCAAACAACTCGCATGCTATTATACTAATTCAAGAATAAAACACATTTTAAAACAGAAGAACTCTTCTTTTCCCTTTCTTAAGCCTCCCCAGAAAATGACCACTGCATTGAAATGTTAGACACTAGTGAATTAGCTCAGCTGGTTCTTCTCAAATGGTGAAGTTTTGATCAAAGGGAGATATGGCTATAAAAATAGCATGGCTATAGTAGAAGATCAAGCTAGCTCCTTCTTAGATGAGATGAATTTTATTTCTCTCCGCAGGAACCAAACAAAGCAAATTCATGAACAGCTGAAAGAAACACAGAATAGGAAAACCTACAGCCTAAATGCTTCCAGCATGATGGCAAAGTCGGAGTGTATGGCTCAAAGCCAAGTCCAGATGCAAAATGTAAGTAATCCTGCCAGCTTCAGCACTTAATATCCTGGCTGAGTTCCTGCTGCTGATGGCAGCACATCGTCATGCTTCTATTAGCAACTGAGCAATGGGAACAAGAATTCTCACCTCTTTCATAAAATGTTTTCTATCAGGCCTGTTAATGGAAAGCAGGGACTTTTTTCTGAAGTTATTTCAGTGGATTCTGGTGCATTTTGTTCATGTAGTAGACTTTGCTGAGCCCCCCTGCTCTGCATCCAGCAGTGAAATTTACTGTTATAGTTTCCAGCAATACCTTAGCTTATATATGTCATTTATAGGTGAAGTGGGGGCTCTTGATCTTAAGTCATGTCAGGCCTTCCAATAATTAGTGAATCTGCATGAAGAAAATGTATGAATTTGTCACAGTTAATTCAGAGCAAATTCAAAATCTAGAACTAAATTTGTACATGTAAACTAGTGCCCAAGACCATGCAGATGATACCATTTTTCTGGGTTATTAGTTAAAGGGACTTTAGATTACAGAAAGAAATTAGTTTGTTCAAACTAAATTTGAGATTTGTTTAGTCATTTTCTGCATATAGTTTATGCAATCTCACAATCATGAAATACATAATGTTTGAAATAAGGAATTTAAAGTCAGCTGATTTATTTAGCCCTGCATGCAAGGTATTTTCCAATACACATCATTCTCCTTCCCCTGGTTACATACAATTAATGCTGTCTTACTTTGAATGAAGTCTTTGGAAGAACTGAGAAGGAGCCTGATAGCAATATAATGGGAAGACATAAAAGATGTATGAAAACCTTTCTAAATTATTGAATGTTTTTCTTTCTTAAAAAAAAATCCTAAAGTATTATAGTGTTCCTTAAAGGGATGACTATGTTATTTGCCAGATTCTATCAAAACAGTGGGAGTGTTAAAATTTGAGTACTTATGCCCACTTAGCCAAGATGTCTCAACTCCTAGTTTACATCCAATTAATGTAGAGATAAGTATAAGTCCTTTTAATCAATTCAGAGTAAGTAGAGCCTCCCTGCTATGACAGACAAGTTGTCAGAGCTTGTGTTCACTAAAAGCTCTGTTTTGTAGGAGCACCATTGTGATGCTCCTATATATGCTCGTGATATAGTTTGTGGTTCAGGAAAAAGATGCTATTTCAGGAAGGAATAAAGCTCCACTAAACTGATGTAATCACAGTTTAAGGAACCTTGTGCAATTTTTCCTTTCATTTTCAGTTCAGTCATATATTTTTTCTAGCCCCTAAAAAGAAAGCTGTTGGAAGTGTTGCTGGGTTGTAATAATGACAAAAAAAGGTAAAGGTCATGATCCGTTTGCTCTACTATATAAAGTAAGTCTAGGTTAACACTAAGAATGTGTTCTTTGCCTTTTTCTCACTGTGAATCATTCAGAGCAGTATTTTATCAATGCATCATCTCAATAAAGTATTCGATGTCTTCTGAGCAGCTGACAAACACATCAACAACTTTTATTTCAGGCAGGATTTTTTTTTGCCATAGCAATAACCATAATGGCTGAAGTAGCAGTTTGTAGATTCTAGACATTAGAGACTGAAAACCATCATTATATTTATTATTTTAGTCCAAATTTGCTTTTCAGATTGTAGTGCTGTTCAGACTGGCATTATTAGTGGTGGTAATTAACACACCATTTTCTTGTTCTTGTGGCTGCTTGCAGGCAACTGTTTTCTCCTTGCCATTAATGCATTCTCCCTTTGGGAACAGGAAGAAAAAGAGAGTGACCTTGTGCAGGCTATAGCATAACAATGCTGGGTAATAGTGGTTTCTGTTGTTAGGGAGATTTTA